ACGCAGCGTGTACGACATGAGGACTACGGAATCTATCAACCTAATGGACGGTTTCAATGCGCATGTTGGAGCAGACAGAGAAAAGCGGGAAGGCACGATTCAGAAGAACGGACCCAGCTACCCTCCCTACCTCAACAGCAACGACATGAGGTTGTTGCCTTTACGGACTGTCAGGCATTGGCACATTGTTCCGATATGGAAGCATGCCATGCATCAGTATGTTTGGCATATGGAAGCTTGTGCACAAAAGTCGATGATCTGTTTGACAATCGCACTGTCTGCCGTACGACTGTCTGTAATTGATGTTCGCGTTAAGGGAAACGCCGCGTTGTCAACCGATCATCACCCTGTCGGTCGCATCGCCTGCTGTAAATGATAATTACCATGCAAAAGATATGAAGGCAGAAGTAACAAGAGAATCAAATGGTAAACACTCTTTTCTGTGGATCAGGGGGGAGCGGCGGGGGAATGAGGAGGAGATGCACAGAAACGTCCAACGACATTCTTAGCAGATCCCAGTGTTGACCGCTCATGTGGAAACTGAGCGAAAACTCTTTATGAGCGGCTTGTTTAGTGCTACGGCGAAATGCTGTGATTTAAGGCGAGTTGGCCTGCCGCCTGAAAATCAGAGACGAACTTCTTGGTGGACATTAGACTGGCTATCACCGAAGAGAAGGCTACGATCAAGAGATGGCTCAGAAACAGAGAGCCTGCATTTCGAATTCAGCACCACGAAACGAGTAAGGCGACAGCGAAAGCAGTGGCCAAAGAAAAGGCTGATTTTTCCAGGAAGAGTTTGATGAGTTCTTTAACATGTCTTTTGTTCGACATAAATTTCTTCATATTTTTGGCCACCCACTTCTTCCAGTCTCGAACCGCTCTGTACGACATCGAGCCGCCTTTCTTCTAGCCTTTTTTTCTTCTTAGCTGACATTTCCGGCCCATTCTTCGTGCCTTCTTTAATGTGCCTGAACCAACGGAACCAGCTTTCCTAGTGATCAACTTTCGAGTGTAGTTAGCAGTTGGTGGTTGGGTGGGTGGCATTTGGCATATGTTGTTTAAATTTTGGAACAAAAATGAAGTAAGATAAAGACGAAAGAATCATTAAAACGTCTAATGTTCTAATGTTGACTAGCGACTAGTTCTGCACCAGTTTTGCAATGGTTCAACTAATAATTAATTTGCAATAAATTAATTCTGAATATATCATATCAGTGGGTTCATTAAGAGTCGTTTGCGCCTACAAAACCAGTCAATTGAGCGGAAAACAGTGAACACATTTCCATCAATTTTACTCAACTCTGTCTTGCATTCAACCCCAAACGACATTTTAACTTTGCCGTAGCAGACTCATTACACTTAAGCAATGAGCAGACGGCTTGAGACCAAGATCTTCAGCATTCTGCCAATTCTCATCTACTGCGTTAATTCATGCAGAGGCCTATTTTCAGGGATTAGCTGCTTCTTGAATTTCTAGACGATTAAACATAGCATGTTCCTTGTATGGGACCAGAGCCCAGAGACCCTCATTCTCACAGCTCCCGTCAGTATTATATTCATGGCCATTTTTCTGCTAAGAACGGAAAACACCTCGGAAAGGTTACCTATTACAAGGATTACTCACGCCCAAAAGTAAATGACGTTGACTGAAACCAAAACCCGTAGAGTTCTTCCGCCCTGTTGGCAACGCCGTGGGCATATTTGGAATGCGTAGTTTCTAGCGCGACCGACTGAGGAAAATCACCGGCGAAGAACAACCGACAGCCGATGCATTCACATCGTAATTGGATGATGATTTGTGAACAACAATAGCAATGTCAATTGGTCGTTCCCCTGACCCCCAAAGCTGACCGATCCGAATGTGAAGCGTGGAATCAGAGCGTTGTGAACTCACCGCTATGTACATGTATATACATATATACACATGTCTATATATAAGTATATGCATGCATATATACCATTAATCATGCGGGTCAACCACATATATATATATGCCTTCTATTTCTTCATTTCGCAACTTGTTCCAGATGGAAAATGCTAGCAGCCTTCTTATCATAGACCGCTGTTGCACTCCTGGCAGTTCATCCCTAATCGTCAATCCCCAGGACTATTGGCGATATAAAGCAAAATCATATTGAGTAGTTAGCGATATGTGGTTCATCAACACTGAATATTTTGTTTTCAAGATTGCCAACGTTTTTTTTCCTTTTGAATAATTCATAACAGATGAAAGCTGAAATCTCTGCATTACAATATCTGTCCTTGAACAACAGCTGAAGCCTCACTGGAAACAAGATTAATATCCATGATCTTCAAGACTGTTAATAAAATATTAAAATTGTTCAGAAATTACTTCACATGTAAATGCAAATTTTGATTCACTTACACTGTTCAAAAAGCATGTTACAATAGATCTGTTATTTTCTTCAATCGACGAACGACAGTTTTCGGCAAATCGAACTGCGATTAGTTGCTCCCAATATAGTCGGTTAATTCAAAATTTAAAAACCTAATCGTTTCAATTAGTCACCGTGAAACCTTGAAAATCATAACTGTGAACGTCGATACAGAAGATCGAGTTAGAAGGACCTAAAGATCACGACAACTGGACTAATATACGGTCGTGAAACTTTCGCAGCAAGCTTTCGCATCTGAAACTCGCGATGGATATCAGCGGAGGCATCGATGCGGACTACCAATACCTCATTGACACTATCAAGAATGTCATTCATCAGGCCAAAAGAGTCGACGAGGAAAAAACGTAGAATCTCTGCAACGGGCGACAGTTGGCCAGC